AACAGACAACACTTGGTACGCGAAATACAAATATAACAATTAACGAATCAATCATTTTAATAAAGAAACAAACACATCCTGGCGTTACGATACAAAGACGCAAATAAGGCCGCAAACATTCAAAATGTTTCATTAATGTGTTGCATTTTCAGCATTGCCTCAAGGGGCGCTATAGCAAGGTTGTGTGTCTGACTACTTACGGTCAGTTTTGTCTGTCAGGTCAACTACTGTGTCATAGCAGAGATAAAGTTTATTAATATAGAGTTTATTAAATAGCGTAGAAAGCCATGGGTCTCATAATTACTAATAATTACACTCAAGAATGTCTCATGAAAAATGTCAGCACAATTCACAACATGTGCATACGCACATGAAGTTGTTCTTAACCTCTGATGTTAATGATTTAGATTGTTCTAAAAGAGCGGCCGCATGCCCAAGGTTAATCATTTGCATAAAACACGCCCAAACCATCTCTATATGTGAGCGTTCCACACAAACTTTCCTTTACAGGCTTTTGTCACTCTCTCAGCCAGGGCTGTCGCTAAAGAGGAGAATGGTGGTGATGATACTCGGGGGGGATTTCAACCGAGAGGGTCCCACAGCAAACCTGCACCGGGGCCCAGATACCATAGCTGCGGCCCTGCTCTCAGCAGCAAACATATGCACTCTCTAAAGACACACTCTCACCTGAGAACATGTAGGCCTACAGAAAGATTCTTGAGCAATCCTACGTTTGCTTTCCTCAAAACCAGTCCAAACACAATACACACTCTTTATACAGACATCTCATTAGCCAGCTGTAACATACACGTATCTGCGTTTGAATACAGAGAACTGTAAAGTTTGAGCTATTTTCTTGATGAAATGTTTAAGTCAAAATATCTATGTAAAGTTTCATCCTAACACAACTATAAGGCCAGAGTAAATGATTTTTGTGGACGTGTGGTTTTAGTTGTTCCAACATTTTCTTTCATATATTTAGAATACATTTTAGTACATAATTATTGGTGAATCATGATTTGTATGTGAAAATTTGGACAAACCCAACTGCTGGGTTTAAAAATTAATTTTAAAAAAATTAAACCAACAGTTGGGTTTGTCCGTATTTGACCAAACAACCAAGCTTTTTTAGAGTGTGTAACTGATGGTAACAAAAATATCAGACATGTTATTTATGGCTTAGCATCAATGTGTTCATCATTCTTATAGATGTACTGTTAAATAGTTAGATTGTTGTAGATGTTTTGGAAATACAAAGCATAATCTAATTAAATATCATTAAACTGTCATTTTTATGTGTAAGGGGATACTGCAGTGCTCTATTTAAGTATATAGCACAATTCACACATATGAGTGTTATACTGTATACATAATAAACAGTATGTTTTCTATCAGTGAGTATTATTGTACACTAATTAAAAGAAAAAGAAAAAGAAAGAGTGATAAATAGCGTGGATCACGGGATGATGGCAAAGGGCCCCTCACACACTGTCTTTGCATAGGGCCCAAGATTTGGTGCTACAACCCTGCCCTGGAGTACTGACGTTTGTTACCGGCAAGACCACTGCAAGAGTGTACGTTAACTATTGCGTACTTGCATAAACAATGTAAAAGTTTCTAGCCTAAAACAAGCACACGGGCTGTGTCCGATCATTTTCAAATGCATGATGGCTGCGCTCTTGTTCAGCTTGGTAAAACTACATAAAACAGGAGCAGGGTCAGGTGGGGACGCAAGTTTTGGAACAACACCTGATTGCAGGAGCAGGAAACACACTTTAGAGCGGGTCCTGGAGGAGCACAAGGTGACTGTTCCCCGTTTAGCCCCAATTCTTAATTACCACAGCACTGCTGAGACTCCCACACAATAGCCCAGACCCGGCCCACATGGACCACTGGCACCCAGATCTTCATTTATATAAATCAAAGCTCTGCTGTGCTGCAGATATGACCTCCACAAGGGCTCTAAGCTGCACTACACCGCCACAAAGACCTGAAAATATCCTGTTAATTCCGAGACAGGACAAAATCTGCGGTCAGGAAGCGACACGAGTCAGATATGAAGGCCCAGGCGTGAATATCTCTCTCTGGTGTATGTGCTGCCCATTATCACACTGCTTTATTAATTAGATAATAACTGAGGAGACCAATTCGGGCCTCAGTGGGTGAGACCTTTTGTGTAATTATCCCACGTTTCGTGAGAGCGAGGGAACGAGGAACTTCTGCTTTGTTGTCGGGGGACTGTGAATCCTCCAGAGGGACAAATCACACAGGGGAAGACGCCGGCGCACAATCATGTGATATTAATGAGAAGAGGACAGGGGAATTAATAGGTTGTGCCATAGCGAGGGGAAGACTTGGAAGAATTAGCCACCGAATATACCCACCGCCGCGCTTCCCAACGTCATTGGTGAATACTCTCCACCTGCCGCTAAGAGTGATGGGCCTGCCGCACCATTGGTCGTACCTGCCTCGCATTACTCACATCTTGGGCCAGTAATTTAACACGCGCAGATAATAACAAGGGACCACCGACTGTTGCCGCACATGGTGGCCACGTTATTGCTGCCTGAACACGTACTCTCCCGGGATCTCTGTCGTCAGCAAGGTGAATTAATTCTGCTTCTCCCTTACCTATCAACACATTCACACATACAAACACAAAACATGTAGACTCCCACAGAGATTAGCAGAACTAGAGCCAAAGTCTCCAGTCCAGAAGCTGTCGTGTACTTCAAAACAACTTTAAGGATACATCATCATGCACTACTACTAATGAGTGGAATAATGTCAGAATGATACTTCACTGGCTTGGGATTCTGAAGGAAGCAAAAAAGGAAACAATAAAATGAACAAACACATAAAAAGAAAGTATGCGGAAACAACACATTGAGCAGGACAAAAGACAGAAGTCCTTTCAGAAGTCTTATGGCTAATGCTGATAAACATGCTTAATTCAATCCCCAATGGTGAAAACAGCCATTTTTATGAATAACCAGTTTGAGGAGGAGAATTAGGGCGTGTAATAACTGTGGAGATTTCTCTGCCAAACAAATGTCCTTTATGTTCAGTGGGTTTTAAATGGATCTGCTTAAGTGTTGTTACTGAGCTAGTTATTCTGGTTAATCAAACAGCCCATTAATATCTTAACAAAAACAGGATTATTAAAGTGAAAAAGCAGATAATATTTCAAATACACACACACACACACACAACTCCATTCAAATATAACTATTTTCTATTGTAAACAGTCATTTATTTCTATAATGGCAAAGCTGAATTTTTAGCAGCCATTACTCCAGTCTTGAGTGTCACATGATCCTTCAGAAATCGTGGTGCGTTCAAGTCGGAAAGATCTTATTTGCCAGTTGAACGCCCAATGAACACCACCACAATGTCGTAAATATGAGTGGGAAGGAGTTGTTTGACCATATATGAGGGTGTTTCAGTGAAACATGGCGGAATACCACTATACTTAAATGTATTTTGCAATGTTTTCTATTTGCAACGAAGCTAATTGCCTGCACAAAATATGAAAGCATTGTAATATATCAACATAATATGTAACGTTTTACAGTGGCTTAATAAAATAATTACAAACAAAAAAGCAAAACACACCTGATGCACATTTTTTGTTCTTCATTTTCTAGAAGTAGATTTAAAAACATTGCTGTTTTTTTTGTTAATTAAGAGAAAGTACACCGCCATCTTACTTATGAACATGACTGAATGCACCTGACGTCGTAAACACAACTTCCTACCTCGTAAATCATTCTAATATGCCGATTTGCCACTCAAGAAACATTTCCTGTTATTGGCAATGTTGAAAACCGTTATGCTGCTTAATATTTTTTTTCATAATTAATAGAATGTGAAAAAGAATAGCATTTAATTGAAATTGAAACCTTTTGTAATAATGTAAAAGTATTTACTGTCAATTTTGTGGAATTAATCCTTGTGGAATAAAACCATTAATTTCTTAAAATAAATATAAAATGTATAATATATATATATATATTTTATAATCGGGCCCAGAATGGATCACTGCTGTGGATACTTAAGGTATAATTTGGAACACAGTAGGCATATACAGTTAAAATCTATTATGACTTTTTCAGTAGAATACAAAGGTAATTTTAGGCAGAATGACATCTCGTCACCACAATTTTTCAAACTTTTTACTGTAACAACAACAATAACATGGGGAAAGATGCCCCCCGGGGTAAGATAGCCTAACCCCACCTTAATTTTCAGTACCTGTACTTTTGATGAATGGCTGTGATATTTTAAATTTTGTCATTTCATCTGAATATCAACATTTGTGAGATTTAGTCAGCCAAAACAATTTTGTGTCTCTGCAAAATAGTGATCTATCACATTGTATTATGTTGAATACGTTTTTTGTGTCTATTTCTTAATGAGTGATTTGAAATTGGACATATTAATGTTTTTAGATTTGTGGAGTAAAAGTTGTTTTTTATTTTCAAGTAAAAAGATAAATTTAGACCCTTGGGGTAAGATGACCACATCTTAGACCCCCTGAGGAATGTTGTGTAGTCCCTACTACCAACCGTTTGTTGTAGTCCATAAAAAGCTATTTATTTAAAAGAAAATATTTCCCTTTGCTTTGAACTTTGAGCGTTGTAACTTTGCAGATGTTGTTTATGCTCAAACAGCAACATTACACACTAACTAAAGTTAAAAAAGTGACATCATAATCAACCACCCCTTTAACGGGGGCATCTTTCCCCATGTTCTTTCCCCCCTATAAAATGTTTAATTTGAAGAAAAATGGCTGCACGAGCCAAAAGTTCACGAGGAAGAAACTTACTTGAAAGACTTTTGTCCCATATGCAGCGAAAGTGGAGCTGTCAGGGCACTGTGTGTGCAGCACACCTTCAAAAGCTATGGAATGTTGGTCCCGCCCCTTAGATCATTGATTGGCTCAAAGTTTCAACGCTCACGCACCCGTGTCCTCCGCCCTGCCCAGAAACGCACTCCAGTCACTCCTAATCACTGTCAACTATCAACGGCCGTGATTGAGAGCGTCCCGCGACTACAAACAATTGTCTCCTCTTTACATGAGAAGTTTGGAGTTGCTGTCAAGCTTGGACCTTATAAACCAACACTGGATTTAGCCTACATTTGAAGAAAAAGAAGTTATTTTTATGTCAGCGTAAAGTGGAATGACTACTTATCAAATCTTCACAAGGAAATACTAAACGTCACAAAGAATCGCAAGGATGTTTCTTTATGAACTTGTCGCACACGTCAACATATGTTTTGTGACTTTATAAACTAAAACGTGCAACTTCTTGTTGCATTTAGTAAGCAGAATATGTCTCTCTTGTAAAAGAGTTCCTAACGACTTGGGAATTCTGTTTCTCTTCTAGCCCAGTAAAGTTCTTCTGCTGGGTTTTACTCAAAACTGAATCTCACCTCAGTTTAAACTCGTTTCATAAGCGGCCCACAAGGGCTTGGACGATTTCAGTCATGAACGTGCCAAGGTGCTCTGGAGTTTGCGCTATGATGAGACTTCTGGCGCTGGTTATACATGTTTTGTCAACCACAGCAAAGAGACACGTTGTATACTGGAACACTACAAACACACGGTAAGTTTACAATTACCTTTAATTCATACTCCTCGTGTTGATGGTTTCCAATGAACCTCATTACGCAGGATTGCGGTTGCCTTCCCTGTGCGTAATTCAGCGCGCGGTGCTCTTCGGGAGCTCAGCCCAGTGAATGTGAGGTGACTAAGCCCAAAAACGCTCCCAGATTTGTGTTGCTTCATGTCTGCAGCCTAAAACACACCTGCAGTTATTAAAGGGTTTAAATGTTGTAACGTGTCCTCCCATGCCTCACCGTTTCCACCATCCAAACTTTGGTGTATTAATCCTTAAAGGTACACTCAGTATTTTTTTCTAATTAAAGTTTTATGCATAAAGAAAAAAATGAACAGCGTTTCTACAAGTTAACGCAAATTATGTACAATCACATGAGATGAGAAGATTAAGAAAACATGGGGTGGTTTGCCACTAAATGGGCGCTGCCATTTTTAAATCACATGACCATGGAAGTTTTGATTATAACATTATTATTATTATTATTATTATTATATGTTTAATGTATGTGCTTTCATTCATTTTACAAAGCCTCAGTTAATAAATGTTGCAGCATTAAAGGCACAGTAAGCTATTTCTGAGAATCATTGTTGAACACTGTTGATATTTGAGGGTACCTTTACACGACAACGATATGATTAAAACGGAGAAGTTTTTCATTTGTATGTTTCGCATACGGACGACACCATTGTCAAACGATCCCCATTCAAAATCTGCATAAAATGACTTAAAAACTCTGTATTCTGCCAGGCCGTTAGATGGCGATGAAAAACACTATAGACTGAAAACATAATACGCATGACGTCATCGTCTTCAGCAATTCGCGTTTTTGTTTACACGGAGACCGTTTTCAAAAATTTGCACTTTGAAACCTGTTTTTAAAGGTTTGTGTTTTGTCGTGTAAATGAACGGCCAAAACGCATACGTGCATGTTTTACGTTTTTAGTTGAAAACGGTATCGTGTAAACAGCCCCTTAAATCAACCCCAAAAAAACTTTGCGCTGGAAAGCTTTTCTAATATTAACGTCTTAAAGCTCTTGACTGATCATAACCCTTCTTTTTCCATTGATATTCATCTGATCTTTTCTCTTTTAATGTCTCTCAGGCATCTCTTTTTCAACAGTCTTTCTTCAAATCTCCCTCTCACTCACTCTATCTCCTCTCCCATCATGAGTGGACACGCCCCCTATTGCTGATTGGCTACAAGTTTGTTGTGGTGCTCGGTCTAATCCACTTTCAACAGCGTTTTTCAGAAATCACTTACTGCACCTTTAAGTGTGGAAACTGTTCCCCCTGCAACGCTATCTCACGACCAATTTGTACAAATTCGTACGAGTGATTAAAAGGTGGCTAATTCGTACTAATTCATACGACCTCACTCGTACGAATTTGTACGATTTGTCTAAACCCACTTGATGGGTAGGTTTAGGGGCGGGGTCGGGGGTAGGTCATTCGTACGAATTCATACGAATTTGGTAACTCGTAAAATATGTACGAATTAACAAAAATCGTACGAATTTGTACGAGTGAGGTCGTATGATGAATTGGTACGAATTAGCCACCTCGTAAAATTTGTACGAATTGCCGTGAGATCGGGCTGGTTCCCCACATCTGAATATGCCTACTTCCCTATTATATGGTTGTCAAATGATTAGTAGTTTTGAATTCGCAATACTTATAAATCGGTATGCAAAAAAAATCTCAGATGGCTGAGATTCTGAAGTGCTAATCCATCGGACAATTTCTATCCTAAATGAGGCCATGGAAGAGGGTTGTCATATTTATTAATGACAGGGAATGACGATGCAGCTGAGGTTGTAGGTTAGATGGCATGACGGATGTCCAGATTGTATTCATACTTCATGCATACTTACTGTATAAAACATACTTTTAGTTTTAAAATGGTCAAAGAAGTTCTTCATCAAATGCGGAGTACTCTCACAGTGTGCAATTCCCAGTGGTTTTATTAACTAAAACTAATAAAAATAACTTTTTTAATTGAAATAAAATACAAATATTAGATGAGAAACGTTAAGTTTAATAACTAAAAAGAAAATTAGAAATGTTGCATTGGTAACTAACTGAAATAACATGAGTTTATTATTTTAAAACTGAATATATAATAATAATAATAATAATAATAAATTAAACTAAGACTAAACTAAAAAATTACTAAAATGTACTAAAATTGAAAATATAAAAATAAAGACTAATTCAAAAACAGTAATAAATACTAGAATAGTAATAATACGAAATTAACTGGCGATTTCGGACTCTGAAAATTTGATTGGGGAAAACAAACAAAGAGGATCAAAACAAAAGATAAACAAACAGCTTTGGTGTGAAGCGGCAGCAGTTAGTAATTATCGTGTGTATCTGTGTTCCAATTTCATTAATTGGGATCAAGGGTCCGAGCTTTTGTATCTCAGCTATATGCTGTAAAATCCAATGCCCTCCGGCTCCTTACAGTCTGGTGAACATTTTCTCCAGGTTTGATCAATTAGTGCTGAACGTAGCACTAATTAAATAAATCAATGTTAATGATGTGTGCTAATCAGCTCTCTTCCTGTAGTGCCACATATCTGTCCTCTGTCTTGCTCTATAATAGTTTAATTGGTGTCATTTGTTAGACTGATGGCACGTTCACCTGCCACTCCAGGTGTTATCTCGGTCTGGATTGGCTGTGCGAGTTTAGGACAGCCTGGAGGGACAGCTGTGCTCCGCCCCTCTCGGAACAACTCGGACATGGCAAGCTCTCCATATGGACATGTTTTTCAGCGACAGGCCTCATGTAGTGACACGCAAATAGTTAAACTTGAATCTGGTTTCTTTGTCATAGCTCATTAATTTCTCATCAGAGAAAGAGTTAAAACAAATAGGCATGCAGTTTATTATTCATATGATTGAGAGATTAATTTTCTTTTAGCTTGTGGTCTCACTGACGTACACAAACCGACACTTGCAGTCAAGGTTGGTGTGTAGTCGTGTTTAGTCTTGTTACGCATGATGTGGTTTATTAACACAGATTTAGGTAAAGGCATCTGCAGACTAAACTTCAACTCCTTTGCTTCAAGGTTCTCCAGCGCTTCAAACAATGAACACATTGCACAGACATTGATTTGCTGTTTACACCAAATAGTGCAATATAACCAGATTAATGAGGCTCGGTTCTGGATACATGAGCGCTGCAAGGTAGTCATGTAATGTTTCATCACATCAATACTAGAAAGAGTGGGAGAAATGAAAGACTTTTGGGTTTGTCTAGCTGTTGGTTTGGTGTGTATGTGTGATAAATATATATGTTTTTTATATTTTTCCTCCTCCTTAATCTCCACTCCTGCCTTTCAGTTGTAACTGAGCTGTGAACTGCTAAGAAACTTGTTGCTTTTCGTTTATCAGTTGACGTTTTAGATGGCCTGCCAGCCAGGTGGATAAAGCTTATAACGTGTGCTTTGCTCTTATCTGTCACGCTCTCTCTGCTCGCCCTTTTATTTCCTCATGTTTTCTTATGATCGTAACCAAAAAGTTTGAAACCTGATGCAACGACTTAACTCACACACACACTTTTTTTTTGTGCACCCACTCAATTTTTTCTTCTCTGGAAAAAAAACAAAAAGACCAAAAAGAGATATTCCAACGCTATCTCACGACCAATTCGTATACGAGTGAGTAAAAGGTGGCTAATTCGTACAACCACACTCGTACGATCTGTCTAAACCCACGTGATGGGTAGGTTTAGGGGCGGGGTCAGGTGTAGGTCATTCGTATGAATTCGTGCGAATTAGCCACCTCGTGAGATCGGGTTGGATATTCTGAAGACTGTTCTGGTCACTCTTACAATTCTATTGAATGACTGAAGCGTTCAAACTTCAAAAATGCATCATAAAGTAGTATTTAAGATGACTCATGCACTAATCTTTGTGAGAGATTCAGACCAAATATTTATTAATCACAGTTTTGTTGTTCTGTAGGGTATATATACAATTATTATTAGATGGAAAAACTTAAAAATAAGAAATGTTGCCTTGGCCACTAACTGAAACAAGACAAGTTTAAGTTGAACTCAAATGACTGAAATAAAAATAAAGATAAGTAGAAATATGAATAAAAGTAATAATAATGATAAATAAATAAAAATTACAAATTTTTTAATTAATATGAAAACTGGAAATGTGACAATCTAATTCTGAATATTAATAAATGCTGTAATAGTATATAAATATTAGCACTGCTTCATTGATCTTCCCCTCTAATGGGCTGTTAATCACTGTGACTCAATCGTAGAGTCAGTGAACAGAACACTAGGACTGAACGAATCTTTCAGACCTGTTTCGTGAACTGGATCAGCTACTGTAATTCATTGAAAAGATCCAACTCAAAGGAAAGATTTCTTCATGAATTGCTGCACTGATGAGATTTTCAGTGAATAAGTCTATTTTTTCCACACAATGTATTGTATGTCTTCAGAAGCCTGGAATATAGTATGGCCCACTTTTGTGATGCTTTTGCTGCATTTTTGAAACCTGAAAACTTCAATCAACTGTATGGAAAAGTGTGACCGGTGCATTCTTCAGAATATCTCCAGAGAAGAAAGTCAGGCAGATTTTAGAGTAAATAACGACAGAACCTTCATACATCAGTGATATTAAACCCCTGCATTGTACAAATTCAACTTACCTTTTACATCTGTAATGTGAGTGTATTCGTCTTTTGTGTGTGTGAGTCACTTACTCAACAAGTTCGAGCACATTTCTAATACTCTCGAAATACAGAGTGCCACGTTTTCAACATCTCCCTTTTATCTCTCATGGCTATGTGTTTTACTGCAACAAAAAAACAGTATTTATTTTAATTGCTCATCTTGAAATAAACCATCAATTAATACCCAAGGAACTTTGAATAATTTCAAACGCGTTTGTGCATAATGAAGGATTGTGTGTTTGCGTGAGTGTTAATTCATGCATACAAGCGCACATCAACCCCCCATA